ATATTCTCGAAGTGGATGGGAAGACGCAATCGTGCAGTGCACTTCGTTATACTGCTGCAAACTCTTGGAATGTATTGTATATTAGGTCAAGTTAATTCGTACGAAGGAAAATTTGGAATGCTGACAACACGAAGGAAGTTGGCGATGTATCATGCGGAAAATATCTAGGTGTCTAAAAGCGTATCAGCAAGCAACGATTTGTATTTAAAAAGCCTGGGCGGTGCTCTCGAATTATTTCGAAATAAAACTGACGACTGTACGTGCATTATTTCTATCGTGAAAATTCAACAAAAAGTGAAGTAACAAAATATCGTGCGACATTTTTCGCTCGTGGACATCGTCGAGCGACACGAATGTTGTATTTTGAAGCTAATAAACGTCACCTCGACGACGTAAACATCAATGCGACAACTCGGAAGAACAGAATCGAATTCTGTTTAAGTCGTGCTTGCGCTAGACGTAACTTTATATTACGTTACATAACGTAAAAAGAATAACGCTCGCGTGATATAACGGAAGAACACGTGTTGGATTTCGCTGAAGTTCGCACGAGCGTATACTCGACGAGCGAACATCTGCAGAACCGCTGTGTCAGCAGATAAATTTTTGATCACCCGCGTTTCTTACTAAAACCATCCTTGAGTTTTTTTTGTTGCAAAAATTACCGCTTTTCGCCGCAATCTTTTCTGTACTTCTAAAAATCTCGGAAAGACAAAATTCAATTTCAGTAATGTAAAATACAATTTAGTTTAATTATTTGATGCCTCAGTGGTCGAATTGGTGAAACGCCCGCCTAGAGAGTAGGGAAGTCCAGGTTCAAATCCTGGCTGAGTTAATATTTTTCGCAATAAATTTTCTGTGTTAAAAACACGATGCCAGTTATGGTCGATTGAAAGCTTAATTATTGTTAGTCATGTACTGGCGTCAAATACTTCTTGATGTTCATTATTTAAATTAACAAGAGGTAGTCTTCTATGTCGCTAGTAGTAATTAAAAAACTTCAACCATTACTTGACCATGTCTGGCAAATTTTTATGTTTAAACTCGCAACGTTTCGACCATGGTTTGTGGTCCTTTTCAAGTGATAATTGTATTGAAAGTTCAGTGTGGTAAATTGAAAGAACAGATCTTGATTTTACAAAAGGCAGAACATGGCTGACAAACATGTTCAGCCAAGTTCAGGACCACAAACCATGGTCGAAACGTCGTGAGTTTAAACATGAAAATTTGCCAGACATGGCCAAGTAATCACTGAAGTGGTTTAATTATTTAATTTTAACAAACGATAATTTCTATCGTTCTTGCAGCGTCGGCTTCGCGAGCGGAGAATCATTCGCAAACGAAACATGAAAAATTTGATTATCGCCCGCGCTTAAACTCGCTCTAATGAAAACGTGTTAAACCGCCGCACTTGAATTGTCCTTCAATTATAACAAACTGATGCAACGCATAAGATTGCGATCAGAAATTATTACTTCGTAAATGCGTGTATTTGACAACTACTTTTCTCTACAAACGTTATTTGTAGATAATAAACGTTATTTTTCGAGTATCACGCACACGTATCTCCCGAGAAAAATAATTCAAGATAAAAATGCATACGGAATTTTCGTTTAAAATTTATCCTGAAAATCATGTAATCGTAGGACAACGCGGCATTTGAAAGAATTTTATGAGTTTTTGAAATTTTACCGTACATTTCACCAGTAATTATACTTAGTGCACATTTTACTAGTAAAATGTATGATAAACTGTTAAAAAAACTCTCATAAAGCTCTTCAATATGCCATGTTGTCCCCACGATCACATGATTTTTACTTTTCGGGATAAATTTTAAGAGAAAACTTTCTCCGTGCACTATCGCTAATTATCAAGCATGTTAACTGTAATTGACGCGATAGCTGCGGCTATCGCGGTTAGTTCTTATCGTCGTACGTTGGTTTCTCGGTGTTCCCGTTTTCGTAAAATGTCTGCACTAATTCAATAACGCTTTTTATGCGAACTCATTTAATTTGTCAAAAAATTATCGCCGTACAGTAATAACTTTACGCGCCTGCAATTAAATTTCACATTGAATAGATATGCTGTCCAGTTCAAACAATGGGTAGGTACTCGATAAAAGTACAATCTCATATCCTGCTGCAGCATGTATTGCGATACATTACAGCACGGAATGAATAAAGATTTCTCGCATTGCGAATGCTCCACAGTTTTTATCCAGTCGTTCCACGCGGTTCAAGGCCTGGTGTAAATGTTAACACGTCGCGATAGCTCGCCGAGACCGATGGTACATGATGCAACGTGCAGAAATACATATTTCGGCGCGTGTTCATTGTATGCCAATTGCCCCGGCGGCTACTTAATAATGCATGAAGTCGGTAATTAGCGGTATCCCACGACGAGCGCGGAGGTAACTGAATTACAAAATGCTCGTACCACATTCGCGACGCGCGCGCCGACTCATTGTAGTCGATGGCGCGAACTAGCGCGATTATTATTGTATCCTGCGCGTTGCAAAAGAATTCCGCGCGTGCCAACGTTTTACCGCTTAAAACCCGCATTACACTACTCTGGGGGAAAAAAAAGACAGCTAGCAACCCACTTCGGGGCCCACAATTAGTAAGCGAATTGTTTGAATCGTTCGTAATTCTACTCTGGGAAAAATTTTGACCATTCCTTTGTAGTTAAGCAACTTAACTAACAATGGTTTTGGCGGAGAGGATAAAAATGGAATGTGAGGAGAAAAGAATTGTACCTCAAAACCAAATAGGATTTCGGAAGGGGATGGGAACGATAGATAACATTTACGTGCTGAACTATCTGGTGAATAGGCAATTGGGGAAAGGAGAGAAGGTAGTGGCTCTTTTCGTGGACATGAAGGCAGCTTTTGACTCGGTGGACAGAAGTATACTGTATAAAACAACGAAGGAAAGAGGAATAAGAGAAGGACTAAGAGAAAGGGTCAAGGAAGTGCTGAGAGAAACAAAAAGCAGGGTGAAAGTAGGAGGGGAATTGGGAGAGAATTTCTGGACTGCTAGAGGAGTTAGGACAGGGATGCCTCCCCAAGTCCGTTGCTATTCAACATCGACAGAACTAATTGAGAGAATTGATTAGTATTACTTAAAAATCTTGGATACAGATAGAACAGCCAATTGCGATTTTTAGTTACGCGGCGTAAAATTCGTGAAAGATTAGAGTTACGAACGATCCAAATAATTCGATTGCTAATTGCGGGCCCCAAAATGGGTTGCTGTCTTTTTTTCCCAGAGTACAGGTTGCGGTCCAGGTTACGATTGGTTGTTGAAAATCTACCAATAGACCCGGTGCTAACTGACAACGTACAAATTGACCGGCGAACTGCTTGGCTCTGATCGGTACACGGAGAGAATATTCTCTTAACGTTTACCCTGAAAATCATGCAATCGTGGGACAACGTGGCATCTCGAAGAGCTTTGCGAGTTTTTTCTTTTTAGGAAAATTTTACCATACGCTTTACCAGCAATGCCCATTAATTTAGCAAAAACCCTGCTATCTCATATAAGGAGCTCATAATAGGGAACTTTCCTCTATAATTACTGGTAAAATGTATGGAAAAATTGAAAAAAAAAAACTCAAAGTTCTTCGAAATGCCATGCCGTCCCACGATTACATGATTTTCAGGATAAATTTTAAGAGAAAGTCCCCGCCGTGTGGACTTTCCACGACCGAACCTCGACCAAGCCCGCAGCCTGTGGTGTAACACTGGCTTTACTCTACCGCGTGTCAACGCTGCGTCAACGGGAAACGAGCACTTTGCGCTCTCAAACGTTTTCCCACCGGGACAATGTTTCGCAAGTAATCATTACGATTTCTCTCGCGACTGTGTTCTTTTGCCCGCAACACGCGCCAAATTTGCATTTAAACGCGTTTGATATATTAATTCGGGGGCGCGCTGCAGAACGTCCGTACGTCGACGGACAGATAATCGTGAAAGCGATCACGGTCGGCACGCAAAGCGAGGGCCCCGAACGGGATTCCGACAGGCGGTTTCTATCGCCCCGTGGAATGCATTTTCCTCGTCGGGGCGTCGGGACGGTTAAAAGTGTCCTCGGCGCCGCGCCGCGTTCCTCCGGATTTCGCCCCGTCACGAGCGGCGGGAATCGTGACGGGGGGGATATTCGTGGCCGGGAGGCAGCCGTCGTAATATGCAAATATCGGCGGGATCCCGCCGGATACCGCGGCCCGCGTGTTGGCCACGCGAGGTGCTCCCCGCGTCGTGTAATTTAAGCGTCGAGCCGTGTCGCCGCGATACGTTAAACCAGTCGTGAGGCGAGCTGATAAGACGGGGACGGATGATCGGCGCGGACGTCGTAAAATACCGTGTCGGTCGGCGGAACCGATGCCGCGTTATCGCGCCTCGGGACTCTCGACCGAGAGATCTCGGTCGCGGTGCCGCTCGATTCCGCGAATCGCCGCGACCAAAGATCTAATAGGAATCGCGATTATTTCACGTTTAATTAACAGTTTGTTGGAAATTAATGCGCGTCCGCCGACGCGATAATAGTGCTAATGGATTTCGCAGATTAATGAATATTGATACAATAAATATCCCGACGCACGCTTCATTCAGCATTTATCGCCCCGGGTGGGCGAAGCCCGCCCGACTTTTCGTATTTACGATGTCCATCGAGCCATTATGCAAACAGGCGCGATGAGATAGTGGTAATGGAGAACGATTACCAAATTAAAAGATAACGATATCGTAGGATGATTCGAGAGGCGTCGAGAGCCCATTGAACGCCGCTGATTCATCCGAACGTGTCACACTGCGGGACCTTCGAAAGTAACGGCGCGTCGTTGGGAATCAATTTGCGCTTTTCATTTAGTCGCATTGTCATCAGCGAAGGCAGATCGGACGCGGGGTAAAAGAGCGGGGGCCCCGTTCGTTTCGTCACGATGCCCGCGGAATAGAAGCGACGGAAGTGACTCGGCGATCCGCCGGCCCAGCATCCGATCCTTACCCTTTTTCATCGGTTTTTGCTTGTGCTGGTCGGCACCGTCTCTGCCCGCCCTGCTTTCACTCGCTATCAGGCTCTCGCTCGCACTCGTCTTCGACTTCATCGTCCTACCGCCTGCTGCCTGGCGTTGCGTAACTCCCAGGGACACGAGCCGCGCCGGCACACGCGCCTTCTCCGCGCCTGCTTTGCGAGCCGCGCGATGTCGAGATAAGATAGCGCCGAGCCGCCTACAATGAGACGATCGCCGCGCGTTCCCGTCGCCGATCTGGATTCGCGGTTCCTGGGTCCAGGTGGTCGCCGCCGATCTACCGCGAGGTCGTTTCAACGGAACCCGTCGACCAGCACCCGCGGTCTAGACTGGTCCACCTCCGGGACTCTTGCTCGAGAGTTTTGTATTTCGTTCACGACACCCCGTATATATCGTCACGAACCGAGCGTCGTGCAATGTGGCATCGTCGATAGATTACAGAGATATCAATTTCGCCGAAGACGATTACGCGTTGTTTGCCGAGAGCGGTGCGCGTCGATAATAGCTCGGCTAGTTTTCGTTTTGGCGTGCGAGAAAAATAACTCGGCTCGCACGTAACGTGCGCGCGAGATTCGTGCCCCGTAGGAATTTTCAGACGACTAACCGACCGACTGTTCGCCGAGAAACGAATACCGAATCTTCTTCTCCGAGACACTTGCTCCGAACGGCGCGAGGAACTTGGACGCGACACGGTCGCCGCGACTGCCGATCGTCGACTGCCGACCAGCCGCTGCCAGTGCGAGGAGATTCGTGCCTCGTCGAGTCCCGATTGTCAACCGGTACGGTAGATAATGCTCACTTTCACGGTCGACTCCGCCCTGAGAGCCTAATCTCGCGAGGCGACTTTGCACCTCTTCACTCTGCGCTTTGTACCTTGCCGCAACCGTTTCTTTCTCCCACGTCTCCCTGCCTCCGGTAATCCGTCCAGTGCTTAACGTACTTTTGCGGACAATGACATTCGCAGTCACCTCGGACGGATTAGGAAAATATGTTTGTAAATTGGCAGACTGAACTTTGTGTTTGGTATTTCCGGAATGTGTCGAGAGAAGTTGTTCAGGTACTGAAAAGAAGGACCGAAAAGAGTCTTAGGGCTAATGTGCCGAACTAGGTGTTGATGTTAAACATATTTTTCGACTTTAAATAAACAATGACAAACGTTTCGACCTGGAATAAAGTCGTCCTCGGGGTAGAATGATGGGACAATAAATTGCAAAAATAAATCGCTGGACAATTCGTCACAAAAGTCCAGACGTGTAAATAAATTACTGCGTCTAAAATAAATGAATAAATTTTTGATATCTCGCTGCAATCAGGTGGAAACCGAGCGAGATGGTTTGATGAAACTCTCTCTCGAGTATTCAGATGTTGAATTAATTGATGTGGCGCGCTTCCCGTTCTCATTGTTCCACGTTGAAATATGTAGACTGAGAACAATAAAACCCACTCCCAATAGAAGATATAACTAAGCGTGTGTGCGTCAATCCGATGTCATAATGTAGATGTCATCATTGTGAAAAGTCATTTAACCTATAATATATATTTAGCAACAACACTAACGTGGTTCACTAACCCTTCTATGTTCCTTTGTTTCTATTATATATAATAACTTATTGAATTTTGATTTTTGTTGGAGAAAAGTTTCCAATTATGAGATAGACTCCTAATATGAGATAGTTTGTTAAATTAATAGACATTATCTGTTGATTCCACCATGAATTTATTGCTCTTGGAGTGAAATCTGTTTAGTGAAAAAGTCATTGTTAGTTTGTGTAATCGTTGCGAAAAAAGATTTGTGATTGAATTTGGGCGTTGAAAACCTGCTATCTCATAATAGAGATCTTTTCTCTACGTTTGAAGTTTTCTAAAGTTCGCGAAATTTTTTAAAAGCCTGAAATTTATTTTCCCTCCTCGAAAAATCTGAAGTGTACGTGCATTAAAAGTGCGATCGCTTTTTGCGAAGAGAGAAAGACCGGACAGAATTAACGGCATTCAGATTATGCGAAGCTATATTTAAGAGTAATTTATAAATGGAATTATTGCATAAAGCTTTAATCCAGTTAGCTGGGAAAGTGTCCAGCGCCTGTCACAATTTTATCATTAAATACACATGCCGCGCCCTAATTCCGTCAGCTTAAACTAGTTTCGCATATAATAGGATTATACGATTACTACCGAAATGAGAAATATAACGTTACTTTTCCGAGGCTGCCTGGTTCCTTCAATTAACGTGATAAATATTTCAATAATCAAATCGATTATCCGAAAAATTCCCGAAACAAGTGACTTCTCGCGGCAGCTTCTCGACACAAGAATAAAATTACAATGCAGTGTCGGGGTGGACTTTCATTTGCTGTAGGACAAAATTGTTAAGCGTGTTGATTGGCTACAGAATAGTAAAATTCTCGAGTATCTAGAAATTTTCTATCCAGCAGCCAATCAACACGTTTAAAATTCTATCGTACGACAGACGAAAATCCACGCTCCGGAAAGAAAGACACAGCCGCTACTTATAATTTTATCCCGCTAATAAATGAATATTATATCGTAACTGTCGTACAACTTTAGAATTGCGTTACAACTCCCGAGTCAGAGGACGGTGCAAGTCGATGCACGGTGTGCATCATATGCACTAATAAGCGCTCTGGAATATTGATCCAGGATGCGTACAGGAAGCGAGTGCCCTTTCAACTGGATAATCTAATTTCTTCCTCGAAACCGTAGAACTAGACAACTCCAGATTGACGACAGTTACCATTTTTACGCCGCCAAATATATTTTTGAAGAAGAGGCTTTCGCAGGAACGTCACTTTGGCTCGAAAGACGCGTTTGGTAATCTTCGAGAGGGACAATTATTAGTCAAAAACTAATCGTTATATTATTTATAGAGAAATTGCGATTCTTCAAGGAATTGACGAGAAATTTAGTACGAGAATTAGGTGGGCTTCGCGACGTTTCCGTGCTCGACGTTCCCGCCGACAACAATTAGGGTCTTCACCGAGGAGGGATTCCCCCCTGAAGAGGTGCAGTTTGGGGGACACGTATCGATCAGCGGCGTTTGCAGTTTTGTGCGAGACACCGGCAGCCTTCGAGGGCTCGGGGGGAGCCTCGTGCCCGTAAACGTGTCAATGGAAACCGAGGTGGAGGATCAATATCGCGCGTCGATATCGTTACACCGCATTCACGCGCCCCGCCGTTAACTGATCTATTATGTAAACGCCTCCTCGTGCGTGAAATGGCCGACTCACGTGTAAAGTCTTCGCGTAAGGTGTAGTACATTGCGAGATCGACGACCACGTAATGTCGCGGATCGGGGTTACGATCGTGTACTGTCGTAAAGTGATCGGCGAACGAGCTCGCGCCGACACGACACGAATAAATGGCTAAATCCGCCCGCCGCGCAGCCGATTATTTTCGACACGAGAGATTTTTGGTATGCCGATTGCGAAAGGATAAGTTTGACCCACGTGGCTTCCAGGTTGTCATCTTATTTTGTTTTTTTTCTTTCTATAAAATCTTCAATTTGATTTTTTAGGATATAACATTTAGTATCAAAAACTAATAAAACAATTAGCTTGTATAAATATCCATTATATGTGGCGCAATTTGTTGATATCACTACTTTTGGGGACATACTTTTGTAGAGAAGATAACTTTTCAGAGAACACAGAAATCATTATTTTTGTAAAGAAGATATTTTTGTAGAGAAGGTAGAAATGTTTTGTGGTAATATAAAATATTCCCAACTAATTAAATCATACAGTTCTTATTCGGATCGCGCGCTTATACTTGGCGTCTTTTGTTACCTTTTTTAAAACGGTTTTTTTTTATAGATTTTATATTATACACGCAGAGTATTTTATCGTAAAATTGACCCTGAAAATCATGTAATCGTGGAACGTATTTTTAAAATTCTACTAGTAAAATGGTGTCCCGCGATTTTCAGAGTAAATTTTAAGAGAAAATTCTCTCCGTGTATTTATGTACATAATGTTATTACATTTTATTAATTATGATTGTTCTATCCTAGCGGGACTCGACACAAGTTATAGATCATCCAAAGTAGACTCGGACCGTTCGAGCTTTCCGTCTCGCGTAAAGTACAATAGAAGAGACAACGAGAACATTCGCGGTCGCGTGGGTGGGCGGGGAGATGCACAATTGCAGCGAGCGAATTACGTGCCCGTTGGCGTCTCGTCGGGGTCGCCGGCTCCTCCGTAGACAACCGGTCCTGCCGTAATTGCGATCGCGAACAATTGGCGCGATCGCGGCGAGCGGACGCGGCTTCGTTCCATCTATCCGCGTGGCGAATCGCGCGGATGAATCGCGTTGCGTCGCGATATCAAGAGTCAAAGCAGATACCCGAAAGATTTGACGGAGAAACCGCTAAGCGGGCGAGTGGCGTCCTTCAAATTCGTACGATCTCTCGTTCGATATCTCGTCGCGGGGAAACGGGAACGTTTTCTCCACAGCGCGGCATAACAGCGATGTATCGACATCGAGTCGCTTCGAGGCGCCGAGCGGTGGTAAATTAACTGCGATTTCCAGGCGAAAGCGTCAACGGTGCCATTAGCGACGCCTATTCACGAGTAATCGGCACGTGCCGGCATTCACGAATTGTCGGAGGCGCGTTGCAATCAGTTGCACTTCCATGCAACTTGCGGCGCGCATTGTACGGTCTTATTTATAGCGCGAAGCTGCGCGATCGGATCGGAACGGTGAAAACACTCGGACGTCAGCTCCGCAATGCGGAACCGACTTCGGAAGCTCCGCGTCTCCGCCGGAGAGAACGTGCCGATATAATTAAACATATTAGATTAAAATTATTGGGCTACCCACATCTCGCTCGGGGATAAAACTGGGCGTTTCTTATTTGATTTGTGCCAAATAATCCTGATTTAACTTTATTGGAATATAAATAAAATTCTGTGCCGATCATCTCGAATATAATGATCGAACTATAATTCTCCGGTGCAAGATTCCACGTATTGTATGTGCATTTGAAATAAAATTCTACCCTCTAATGTTACCTCAAACACCGAACTGTATTCCTCGAATAAAATGCCATTTGTGTCATGTGGTTTTTTACAGGTAAAAGTTGAAAACCTACTGCAAAGCCAACTGGATTGCCTACGAGAGCCAATCAGGATTTAGCCTTAAGTCGCCTGATCTAAAACTCTGCATCCAGTAGGAAAAATAGTACCGTGCGCCGTTGGCTTAAGTCTTCGTGATCACTTTACGATACAGAACTAAAAATGGCTCGAGTCGAGTATTCCCGGTCCCGGAATGGGCCTCAATTCTATCCTATCTTCATTTGAACCTCGGAGACGGTTTGAAACTCCAACTTGAGGCCCAGATGAGTAAAAAAATTGTGTTTAACCCCATTCTAACACTCAAAGAGGGTGTAATAAAATATTTCATCCTCTTTGAAACCTCTTAGGCCGAAGAGGATCTACTGAACCTCTGCTGATTACACTCGCGACTGCTAAAAGGGAAACAGCGGCCATTTTCAGGCCTATCCGAGGTAAAAAATTCGACATATTTTCTCGAAGACCTTAGTTGGACCCCATTGCTCCCAATTCAAAAATTATACGATGCTAAACTGAGGCCAAAATATTCGAGCCGGCACCTGGTTCCTTACTGCACAAGTGCCATCCACTTGGAGTTCTCGAAGGAGAACCAACTGGTGTTTTCACGTCAGTCGGTTCGTAATTCATTTTCGACGCTCCAATTAACTGATAATCTCGACATTTTGGTTAGCTCGGTTAAAAATAACGTATTTTTGACGGTTAAATGATTAATTAATGCGCGGCTACCTCCGACA